GCAAACGTAGTCCTCCCCTCAACATGTGCGCCTCGAAGCCCGAATTTCGAAGTTCGAATCTGTTTTTGATTTACTTCATATATTATGCAAAATTAAGGTTATTTTTACTAACAACTAAATTCAAGCATCTAAAAGCAATGTGTTGCCACTCTGCAAAGCATAAAATATTCATCTTTCAACCTTAGTCAGAAACTCGGAGATCGAGAAGCAATGTGTTCCAATCTGTTAATGTGGCAAAGCGTTAAGTATTTGTTTTTCAAATTTAATCAGCCAACTGAGCGATTTAAAAGAAATGTGTTACCACTGCCAAAAATAAAATACTTTCCTCTTCCACGCTCCAGTGCGTTGCCAGATATTTGATTTTTCTTTTAAATTTAACTCTCTGTTACTTAAATAAAAACTAAATGGTTTAAAAGTAATAAATTTAGTTCTTCATCTCAATAATAATAAAGTGCAAAAATTTTTAAGTAAGTTGTTAGAAACGTTTTTTGGAAAATAATTGGAAACTCAATACAAAGACATTTTCGGAACTAAATATGTATTTAATTTACGTTCCGAGCTTTACTTCATTATGAATTTATATACATATATTCTGTGGCATACGTTAAATATAATAAATGAGGACGTTGTCTGTTTCCTTAAGCAGACCCTTTAAATGATATTAACGACGTAATGTTCGAGCAGTTGCCTTACAAAACTAGTCGCTAATACATCATAAAGTACAGAATTTTCTTCACATTCTAAACTAGATCTGCTGTTTCATGGCACTCACATAAAAAGAAAACATTTAAAAAAAATAGATTTCGTGTTAACGGAATACTTCTAATCTAGCTGTAGCAATTCCCATTTAATCCTCCTTTTATTTTAAGAAAATCTACAACTGAAAGAATATTTTTAGGGAGAGCATTTAAGGAACCAAATAGTATCTTTTATCTTTTATCAAAGCCAATAGTATCTTTTATGAGCAAGTTGCACGTTCGATTCTGTACTTCAAAACTACATATTGTTCCTTCTTGGGTTTTTCCTTCATTAAATTTGCCCATCAGCGGCCGAGCGGTAAAGTCGCTGAACACTGGTAGTTCGGTTCGAGGTTCGATTCCCGCGAACGGGCTGGCTGCATGGGTGTTTTCGTGGTTTTCCCCATGTGTAACGTGTATACGAGCCAGTTTCCCTTAGAAAGGTCCTCCATGAAGGCATCCCTCCCCTTAGGCAGATAGCCCTAGTGTGCTTTGACATAATTAAATACACCACACCTTCGTTAAATTTGAAAACTAATGCAATTTAAATCAGTCATCGTTTTTATTCAAATAGAAAATATTACAATGGCTACTATTTTTAGCAATCACGGCTTCTCCAGGCGGAGAAGAAAAGGGCCACCGAAAGGCACAGAAAAAGGCATTTTTAATTTTAAATGCCATGTATTCTTTAAAGAATCCTACTTTTTTGGTTCCTAAAATGCTGTTTCTAGAAACAGTCTTTCAATCACATTTTCTTAAAATAAAAGGAAGATTTTATGAGTTGCAGCTTTGAGATTATAAGTATTCAGTAAACACAAAATTTTTTATGTGATTCTCACGAAGCAGCACCAAAGTACTAAAAGTAGTACCAACGTACAAAGTAGTAAAGAAGTAGTTTACAATGTCTCTTAGAAACACAGAAAGTTTCACACTTTAATGTGCAAAATTGAATGATATATTAGCAATTTGTAATTTCTGTTCTATTAGAAAAGTTAATAACAATTATATTTTACTCAGACTTTTTTTCTTCTTTCTTTTCAATGCTGTTTTACACAGTACTGTTAACAATTACTTTTATTTCGTAGTTAAGTTTTGAAATTTAGACAAAATTTAAGTAATATTTAGTTCTAGTCTAAAAATATGCTTTGAAAAAAAAAACATGTCTTTTGTATATTCGTAAATTTGGCATGTAAAGGTAAAAAAACTCTTATATTTAAATTATGAAAGCATAATGGATATTTTATTAATTGTACTTCTTTCTGTGCGTGGGCCATGTAAAATGTTAAGTTTTTTGTTATTAAAACTAAACTATTCTGATAAAATTCTATTGAGGAACTTTTCAATTAGAAGCACATGTCTGTAATCAATACTTAAAAATATGAATCCTAAGGCCATATTTATATTTTCGACAGTCCCATAAAGATGCACATTACTAAACAAGAATGATATTAATTTCAAGATTGCTGGATTTAGTGACTTATCATAATTTTTTCAAGGTTTATTACAACAATAAATTTTTATCTGGAAACTTTTGTTAAAGGTCCGGAATAATAACATTTTTGCGGATCTTTATTTTATTTCAAGCAAGCAATTTTGTTTTTCCTGCGCAATATTTTAAATGCTTTCATTCCTTTTCTTATCCGGGACTTTTCCTCCGTTGAAGGACCGAGATTCCAAACAACTTTGAATGTCAACCTACTTTTGTGAAGATATGAGATTGCAATTTATGAACTACGATTGTTAAAGGAGCACAAGTTTTGTAACTGACGTTGTAAATTATGGGAATTATCTTAACATCTGTAATTTACCGTATTTATCATGCCCATCGTAAATAATTTCACAGGATGCGGAAGTTGAGTAAAGTCTAAAAATTCGGTCATTACAAGATAAAACTGTCTTCTACATATTTTTTCACGCAAAACAGATAAAATAATTTTAAACTGACAAAGGCTATATTTCGGAATATATTTAAGACAATTTAATATTAAATTAATTGAAATTTATTAACGAATGAGTGATATTTACTGCTAATATTTATTAAACAACAATCAGAAACGCAAAACTAATATTAATATAAACAACTTATGCTTTTTGAAAAGAACTGAAATAATTAAAAGAACACAAATGGAAAATTCTTGTTATCTTAATTATTTAAATTTCAGAGAAAAATTAATTGTTAATTCTTTTTCATAGCGTTTTTCCATAATAAAGCACTTATAAGTTCTAAAAGTTCTAAAAAATATTTTTTTTATTAAAAGGATTTATCCTTTTGCTGATATTAAAATAATTAAACTTAAGGGTTTTTATTGTTGTATTTTGATATCAAATTCAAGATTTAAATTTTCCTGAAATCTCATTTCCTTAAAATTAATTTTTATGACAAAATGTACCTTTTACACCGAATAATCTTCGTATAATTCTCCGTCGCTTTCATTTCATCTGGGAGCTTACATTTATTTTATATTCTTAACTACCTTTTCATTTTTTATATGTTTACTTCTTTTATAAGTTTTACAACAAATATTTTATTTCGTAAGTGCAAACACAGAATCCACTTTATTGCCTTTCCAAGAATTTAATTCGTGGAAATTTTTATATTATCTACAACAGTTAAAGTGCATCTCTTCACGAACACTTTTATCTGACTACAGACGAAACATATGTAATATTAATAAAATCATATATTCTGGAATTGAGCTAATATTTTCGCTAAAATAATCTTGCAAATTAAGTTTGCAGAAGGTTTCTTTCAGGAGATTATCAAATATGAGGCAGTATTGGGTAAAGCTAATGAGAACTAACTATTTAAGAGATTAACTATTTTAGAGGGTATTCTAAGAGAAATTAAATCCTATGAAAACCTTTTAGAAGAAAATTGACTCATATTTGCACGGAAAAGTATACAAAAATCTGCGCATCTAACTTGTTCAACTGTTGGATTACGAGCTTCAGATGTGTTGCCAGTGTTCCCGGCTTCAGTCATTCATCCACAGGTGACCTGATCATAAATGAAGTGTGAGTAGAGCAGTGATCCCAAACTGGCGGCTCTCCCAATGCAATTTTGTGCTGTTCGTGAAGCCAGTTGAGTTATGCATTTGTTGCAAGTACGATGCTGGAAAAAGTCCGAATGGGAATATGGGAAGTCCGAAGATATATTATTTTCATTTTCACTAAAAACAAACATGAATTACGCACTAGAAAATCTGTAAATGGAACTATTTAATTCACAGTGTGATATAAATCTTATCAAGGATTGGAAGATACAGATTTGTTTAGCGTTTATTCACACTTGTGGGGGGGGGGAAGCTCACTTACGAATTTTTGCACTGAGAATAATCACTTTGATTGGAAATACATTTATCTGTGAAGAGCATTTTTAACAGTCGAAAATTAATAAGAACCCGATTGATCAATGATCATCTACTATCCATGATGAAGGTTTCTCTAATTTCTCTAGTAATTAATTCTGATAATTCTGATAATTAATAATTAATATAATAGTTCTAATAATTAATTCTGATATCTAGTAATTCTGATAAAGTTACAAACTTTATCAAATAGTTTGTAACTTTAAAGTTACAAACTTTATCAGAATCGAACTGCCAACAAATGTGAAGCTATTGCAAGAAATAAAGAAGTACAAAATTATTTACATACAAACATATCTAGTTTTATTTATTCCTTGAAAAAAATTAATAAATAAGTGAGACAGATTAGTTTGTTATTATTTATTTACAAGTTTTGTCCCATTTGGTAAATTTTCTTTGAAAACTGTTTATTAATTATTATAAACTGAATTTAAAATTAACTTGCTTATATTTAATTTCAAGTAAGTTATTTAATAATTAATTAAACGTTTTAGAATTATTCGAATGAAACGTCAGTCTAAGAACTGACGTTTCAATATATTTGACGTCTCTCAATATATTTGAATTACAAACTGTAACGAACAAAAATGTATCACAGGTACCAAACTTTACATTTCGAAGATTACTTTAGATAACACAAACTTTAGATTTTCGTTAATATTATCATTGTTTACATTATAAGGCATTTCTACCGCTTTCGTAGCAAGCCTTCCTGGTATAGTGGTCAGGACTCTCGCGCGTATTCGAGAGGCATATTACTTAAAATGCTTATATTAAACATGATAACAATAAAGTTATTTGTATTCCATACATTTATTTGCTTCTTTAGATGCTTTTGCTTAGAGTTTAAAAATATTGTTTACTTAATCATGAAACCATTTTTTCCCTTTTTTAGAATAAACTGACACATAAGAGGTGATTTAAAATGACGGCGATGAACATGTCTGTTACTTAGACAGTCTTGATAAATTCCCTATCCCTTCTCCACTGAGTGTATTATCAGCATGTTGTTCGAAATCAAGGAGTTACTTGACTGAAAATATCCCCGTTTCTTTGGTAAGTAAAAACAAAATATCATCATTATTTATTATTGAAAGTATGTCATTCAAAATTATTTTTATAGTTTTAAAAATATTTCATTTAAAAGTAAAACATAAATAAAGTGAACAGTGAATTTTTTACATTTTATTGAAGGGACGTTTTACGTGTTAAGATTTGGAGTCTGATTTCTAATATCCGATCTTAAGAGTGAAATAAATGCGAGAAGTCCTATCAAATTTGATAAAACTTTATATCTTTCTATATATAAAATAAACAAGAGTTTATAAATTTGAAAGTTCATATTATATATTATTAAAGCAGCGCAGTGTGTTGCCAATTTGATTAAACAATTAAGATATAATAATTAAGTAATTAAATCAAAATTTTGGAGGTTAGTCTAACAGAACAAAATGAATAAAGTTGAAAACAATACAATACAGTAATATAACATAAAAAAATAATATAATAATCTAATACAATAAAACTAATAGTTGAAATTCTTTGGTCTTTTTCAACGAGCAGCGGAAAAAGTTTCAGTGGAGCCACGTTTCTGAATTATATCTGGATGATTCAAAATCAAAAGTAAGAGCCAAATAAATTAATAAAAATACTTAAACTTTTTTATATAATACAAATAAAGGATGTAAAGTAGTGTAAATTTTTTAAAAAAATTATTTAGTCTTTTTGATAAATATCAAAATATAATTTCCTCCAACATGATCCAGACAAAAAATACTGTACAAAACTTGACAAAACAAGAATTCTCGAAACTAAATTTATAAATGAAGAATTGGTCAAAACGAATAAATAATACAAACGAATAAATAATTGGTCAAAACAGAAGCAACAAACTGAATCAGTATTTTTCAAAACTGTCAAAAAATAAAAATCAAAAAATTACAAATCAAAAAATTAAATTTAAGGAAACGAAACTAAAAAAAAAAAAAAATTTAATTACAGGCTATTAGCCCAAATTGTGAAATATTTTAACATGCAAAAGGTTTAAAATTAGAAAAAAGAATTATTTAACAGTAAATTATAATTAGAACGTTTTCGAGAGCTTAATCAGCAGGGGAAAATGTTGCAAGAGCTCAAAACCCATCGGCATAGCATTTGTCAAATTGAATTAATTAGTTAAGTTAACGTATTTTAAAATACGTAATGTAGAGCCCAAGATAGGGTAAAATTAATAAAAAAATAGTTACAAAACAAAAACTATTAAATCACTACGTCGAAAATTAGAAAAAAAAGGTAAATTATGTAAAAAAGAATTTTTAATGGCCTTAAGTTATTTTTATTAATTTAATTTAAGTGGCACTTTTGATATATGATCACCCAGATATAATTCAGAAAGGTGGCTCTGTCGAAACTTTTTCGGCTACTCCTTGAAAAACACCAATGAATTTTCAACTGTTTGTTTTATTGTATTATTGTATTATGTTATAGTATTGAATTATTTTACTTTTATTCCAATCATGATCCACTCCCTGTTAGACTTTTAACCACCAAAATTTTGATTTAATTATTTAATTATTATGGCTTGATTATTTATATATGTCAGTTTTATGCTACTTTGTTATATACCTTGTATATACTTTATAACGCTTTTGTGTTGAAATTAATTGGTAGAGTTACACTTGGTAGAGTAGAGTTACGTAGTACTTAGTACTTAGCTCGTAGTAAGTAGTACTTAGTTCAAAGAGTTGCAGTTTCGAAATATCTCTCACAAATCTTTCATTTTTATTCTTTGTCATTGAAATTAGAAATGGCTAAAATTCAATAAAAATTTCGTGATAGCTAACCAAACAAGAAGCAATTACGAATTCACATGGCTAAGATATTTCATTTCTCATCTAAAATTTAATAGTCAATTCCTTAGCGTAACAAAAAGAGCCATTTAAACAATGTATACTTCTTTATTACCATAAAGTTACCGTAAATACTCTTTTATGGAACTTAATTAAAAAATCTAACCTAACTTAAACACAGAATGATGATAAACCACCACTAGTTATGAGGTACAAGAAAATGGATACGGTAAAGAACACATCCATAATAATACTTTCTTCGCCTGCCTCCACGACTTAATACATGGTTCATCGAGTTATTTTTATATTTTTATGGATAAAAATATAAGTATGAACATAATATAAGTATATATAAGTATGAACTTTACTTAAATTCATGAACTCTAATCATCTTTTCCCGCCTATGTGCGACGATGTACAGATGTACATCTTTTATCTTTAAAACAAGCAAACGTTTTAATTGGTATTAATTTTCAGTGTACTGGAAAAAATACTCTTTAGTAGTTGCAGATCAACTATAAAATCACGATCTACGATCTAAAAATATTTTATTTAAACAATCTGATACTGGAAATATTCTTATGCAAAACTATAATCTCTATTATTAAAATAATGAAGAATTTATATGTATGCATATACCTACGTATGTTCCTCGCATTGACAAAATTGGCGTCAAGTAGAGCTATCAAATTTGGAACACAAGTAGTCCTCCACTCGAATATGTGCATCTTGGAGTCCAAATGTAATATTTCTTTTCTTAATTTTTCTCAACTTTTGTACGAATTTGAACCGTCCAAGGACGTAAAATTCTATATAGAAAAATAGGCTTCCATTTCGTACATATAAAACTTTTTGTCAGTTCCTGATCTAGCTGATTTTGGGTTGGATGTACATTGGAGTAAACGAAATCAAAGTACAAAGTTCAAAGGTCGTTTCGGAATTAGACGCAAGGAAATATCCCCTATTTATAATACTTTGCGGAACTTTAAAATTTCAGGGCTAAATCCATAACTCTCAGAGGGTTAAAGAATTTTTGGTTAATAAATTCATGGATTCAAAAACGGGCAGTGACAACATTGCTCGAGATAAAACACTTTTATCTGTAGCGCATCATGCTGTTGCTAATCAGAAAAATGTAAGTTATAAGTAAAAACATTTGGCTGTTTAAAAGCAATCTGTTGACACTGCATAAAATAAAATACTTTTATCTCCATTTGCCAGTGTGCTGCCATTCGGCAAAGCTCCAGATATTTAATGTCCGAATTATTTTGCCTGTTACCAATCAACAAACCATGCGATGTAAAACAAATAAATGCATTTCTTAAGAATATTTTCTTTCAATTTTTAATCCTATTGATTTGAATAAAAATTCATTTAAATCATAACATGTCTAATTAGAAATTCTGAATATCTTTATTAAATTACACTCATTAAAACATTATATAATTTTTCCTGTTTTATAATTACTCCTTTTTGGTGCGATTTGCAACAAAAAAGGAATATGTAAGAAATTCTTATTTTGTTCCTAATATAAACAGATACATTTTATTTATACTATATTTGATGAGACCTTTAGGTAATAACCAGTTTGATTAGTAATAAGTGCTATCTTTGATAAAAATAAACTCTGCAGTGCTTATTTTTTTCACCATTTAATTTATAAAGTTGATAGAACAAGCATAGAAAGTTATTACTTTTTTATAAAGCTTATCTACTCTCACCCTCCTCCTTTCCTCGGACTGCTTTCACATTTCATTTCGAAATGGTCAGATGCACTCAAAATATTGTGTTAGTTTCTTTCTTTTGAAAGTGCAAAAGCTTACGTCAGAGAGATAAGCTCAGTAAAATGCTCCTGAACTATATTTCTGGCATAAATTTACAGTCATAGAAACATAAATCTGTAGATTTTTTCGTTAATTTTTGTATGTATCGGTTAAAACAAGGAGATCGATATCAAATATTTTAGCTGAAGAATGACCATTGAAATATGAATGCTTTACAGATTAATTTAAGTCTAATAAGAAAATGTCTTGCTGTTTGTTTATTAATGTTTTTATTCGGCTGCATTTTCATTATTAATACACTTTCATTACACATTCTTCTTATATGAGCAATTTATCAGTTAAAAATGTACTTCTTATACAAATTTTAAAATGTACCAATTTTAAAATGCACCAATAACCCTTAATTTTACATTAAAGCAAAATGTTTTTGCTTAGTTTTATTTTGAAATACGGTATTTTGAACATTAAATTACCTTTTTTTTGTAGAATACTTATAAAACTAAAATGTCTAATTTGTTTTTATAAAGCGGAGCAGTCAATATTATTCAGTAATATTTGCACAATATGATATTAGCATATACTGTCAAGTTTTTAAGAGAACCTTTCCTTTGTAGGAATTTTTTTAAATTGAGAAAACAAATAGAAAACTTGTATTCCACGAAGTATTCCATGAGGCTTACAGATGTAAGTAAATAACTCACAGGACAAGGAATTCAACAACAAAAATATAAGAATCTAGACCTTGAGAAAGCAAAGAAAAAATATTAAATACAAATATTATTAGAATAAAAATACTAAAATATACCATGAATAACTAAACTACTTTAATATTCCTATAAATTAAAATAAACGAACTGAAATAATATAATAATAATAAAAATGAAATAAAACTTTAAAATAATATTAATACAAAGGGAAAAATGATACATCAGCAATACAAAACATCAATAAATAACGTACTCATATGTAGACAATACGCAAAATAATACAATGACGTATAAAAGGTAACATTTCAGTCATATAAATAATATAATACTAAAAGTTCCAAAAATAAATAAAATCTTCCATGATTACAAAGGCCTAGGAACTCCTTACAAGATCATAGAAAACAGGAGACTAGCAAATAAAGAGCTGCCATAAACTCACTTTAAATGCACTTCAGGCAGTTGCATGCTACCTACCAACGCAATAAAATATGTTCAGCATCTTCCACAACATTGCCGCAAGCACAGAGTTCACTAGTAACAATACTGAAATGAAATAAAAGTAAATTCTAAAATTCCGATGACCGGCCAAAATCTGAGTAAGTTTATAATCCGGTTGAAAATGCCTATACTTAAGTCGTTGAAGAACACTTGGGAAGAAAAAATCTCTTTGTCCACTGGGCCTTCGAAGAAGCAAGATATTCAGCATTCCAATCAAC